ACGGAAAAGTCTTATAATACATTTTAGTTCCGGAATAAAGCGAAAGAGAAGTAAATTACAGTGGATTGGGGTGAAATGCAGTAAATGCTGGAATGTTAGGATGCAATACAAAGAAGCAGTGGTAATCAAAGGTATGCGTATCAGAGGGCAGCATTGACAAAGACAGTAAACACCCAGTCAGCAAGTGTGTGGTTTAGGGGTGGCTCGTGTGCCGACTGGAGGGTGGGCTGCGGTTCGAGCCCCGTTGGTGACGGGTTTTTGCTCGCAGAACCAGCGATCAGAAAAGTTTTATGCCAATGGGAAAACTCAACCTTATAAATACACAGATATAAATCACAGTATTAAATGTCCAGTAAATATGTTATCAGAATATATAAATTCCATCAATATAGACGCCGTAGAATGCAAGAAACACGAAAGTGTAACTATTGGGAAAATAAATACGGTACCCTACTCATGAGTAGTCTAGTGGACACATGGGAAGAAACATCTAATTACGAGTAGTAATTAACACAGCCCAGATCATCCTCATTTGTTGGCTTCATATTTGATAACTGATCAAAAAAGGACTCAAACGCCGCTTTAGATTCAATATGACTGCTTCTTCTTGGTGGAATACAATAATTTAGACCACATGATAGAGCTTCAAGTTGCAGTCGATTCAGTCGATATGACAATACATTGTACACGTATTTTTCAGGGTGTTTAGGAAAGGATGAGTTCATCAATTGATGATTCAGTGACTTACTCAATCGGTTCATCTCATACATGCGCGTTTGACGAACCTTTTCACAGCAAAAACTGGTAAATTTGATCAGTGGTATCACGGTTAGATGGTCCATAGCTCGGGAAGCAATATGTAACACAGATACAGGTGTTGACCAAACTCGTGCAACATCACCCTCATTTTTAAAACCCATTTCAGCTTACAATAGCATACTTATATATAGATGGTTATGAGTACAGTGTATTTATTCCTGAATTTATCTCCAACATCTACGTTCTTAGTTCATTTCTATCACCATTTGAATGTGCGCGACCTTGAGTGTCGCTATAAAATTGGCAGTAGTTCGAAAGTTACAGCTCTGATTTAGAAAATATTTTGGGCAAAGTAGCATGGGTGTTCATTCATTTTAATAGATGATTCGTGTTCTATGAGAGTTTCTATTAGGTTGTAAAGTTGTAAAAGTTCGACTCTACATTCCTCGATGTGACACTTGGTTAACCGCTTCAGGTTATTCGGTGTTGGCCGAAGTTTTTCACGCTATAGACGTTTGCAATTAGTGATTGGGTATTGGCTGCGTTCAATACATCCAGATAGAAAATCTATCCTTACTCGTTGAACAGCAATCTTGCACCTCAATCTCACAAGTTCGCTCAACTGACGAGTCATTGATGGTGGGAGACGACGTTTGAGAAACTGAAAACACTGTTTTCCCGTAACAAATTTGAATGGAAAGTGTGAATGCCATGGTCTAGATATAGACAGAAAACCTGTTATTTGATTGAATTAGGCAACAGAAGCTGGGCATCGAAGGTCTAATAGGTGTGTGTGTGTGTGTGTGTGGTGAGGAGGATCAAAGCAGGCGTACATTTATGACAACGGGTTAAGTCGACTGGTCTTTTAAAATACAGTCCGAATTTACAGTTTAGCTTCAAATGTTTGGTAAATATCTGGTCAGTGTTGACCGCATGACTTCGGATCACGTGGTCTGCAGCAAACGCAGAAGTTCAAAGTGAGAAATCGGGGATTTTTAAAACCGACATCGACGTACGTTTTAATGATTGTTTTTTTTTGCTGCCTGTTGGCTGCATTAAGTTAGGTGGGAAAGTGGATTCACATCGATCTAACACTGGATGCATTTTGCATTGCTCACCCGGAAACAACGGTGCGCAATGAGTCCAAAACTACTTATGGTGATTCAACAGGACCCTAAGTTCACTATTAATTCTACGAGTGTATTTTCAGGTTAAATTTGTGTGTCTCAACAGGGACATTTCATCAGTGACGTTGGTATAATAATATTTATGTTTAGTTCCCATGAGAATTAAGTATCTTTTATTATTAGTTACTTAGTTAGTTAGTTAGTTAGTTAGTTATTAGCGGTGGCTTTGATTCGACGGTGGAATGATTGTTGTTTTCTAAAGAATAAAAAGAAACTGTGGAGTATTGTATTGATAAAGTTTACAATTCCCCCTATACTATTTCTCTGTCTGAGGGTGGAGAGTGAATAGTAAAGAGTAATGTGGCCGACCTATGTATACAGTACAATGGTTGGGGTTAATTTGCTGTGTTCCTGCTTCCATCTCGCCCTCACGCACACATACACACACACCATCTAAACTCACGAGTCTGGCTATCAGCAGGGAGAAAGCGCAATTCGGACAGTGTAGTCAGGTTCCCAATCACTTTGCCGACGAGTCAGTTCAACGGCTGGTGGTGTTGGCAGGAGACAGTGGCAAAGTTCAACGTGGTTTTTAGCGAGGCAGAGTGAGCGAGAAGAGAGAGAGAGAGAGAGAGAGAGAGAGAGAGAGGTCGACCATAAATTGGATCACACGAACCCACCGTCTCTCTGTGGCATTTTCTTGTTGTGCAACTCCCATTTACCCCGTATTTGAGGTATCCATTTGAGGCATATTCACAAACAATGCACAGCGCACATTTTCATCCGGTTGCTTTGGCAATACAGAATTTCAGAAGTTGTTGAAATCTGTCGAACAACAGGCACGATTGCATTTTTCTTTGCCCCGGGTTTATATCATTACAACCGGTGCGTAACAGGTAGATAATAGTGAATCTTTCATTCAGGGAGATGAGAGATTTCGGAATACTGCACCAGGGTGATCTTAATTCGATGCACTACTGTGGATAGACGGAGTGTTATCAAATATGTTCCACTTTGATTAATTTAGTTACAACCGAAAACTCTTAAGTACGCCTTCATTCCCCGTGGAACGAGAGGTAGGGAAATGTGAGTACAACTGTTCGGTTCCCGTTGCCATACTCACACGGATACTTACTGACTGAACGACCAAAGAATGAAGTACAGAAGGACTGGTATAAGCAAAAATAACTGCTCGATAGTTTAGTCAAGGTCAAGGGCCTGATAGAACGGGTGTGCGCGGAAATGAGGTCCGAAGCATGCGGTATCTATGCTTGTGCTTGTGACCTGCAGTTGTTGGATTTCCCCGAAAAACCACAACACATTCGTACTATGTTGGATGTGATGGCGTGTCAATACTTGTTCCGTTTTAGACTTTTAAATTATGCTAGCTATGTGCATGATCCATAATCAATCACGCCGAACTCATACAAAACGCGCAAAATTTATATTCAAATGTTTAGTCTTACATGTGATTACTCGATAGTGAAATGAATGAAAACTGATGGAACAGGTGAATCCATTTGCTGACCTTTGCAACGAGCACTGCATATTGAGTAATGAGAGTAGATAGTTCCCGTTAACTTAATAGCCTATTGTGTAATGGGAATAATCCT